TCGGCTCGAAAATGCTTGAATTCGACGACTTACCCGACTTCACGGACGACTGTGACGTCGCGTTGGGCGCAGAGTAGGATGGGGTGGCGGCGACCTTACGCCAGCGGATCTTGTTGCGCCAGCAGCCATCGAACTCGGCGACGACGCGCGCCTTAGGCACGTCTCTAACCTTGGTCCACCCTTCCTGCGCGGTTTCGCCCTTCTTGTACGTGTGCACGACGCCCTCCATGCGGTACTGTGCGCGACCTAGCCAGCTCTATTCAACCAAGTCAGCATTCACACGAATGAATGAGCAAACGAGGTAGAACAGACCTCCTCCTTATACTCCACAACGGCCCTGTACCACTCGTCGCCCTTGCCGCCGGTGCATGTCACAACTGTCGAGTCGCCGACGGTGAGGTAGAAGCTACCCCTCAAAATCCCGTTCACACTCGCAATTGGGTGTGTGATGTGGTACTCCTCTCCCGCACCTCGTACCCCCTCCCCATTCTCGTTCGTCCCCGCGATGCGCACAAAAATCCCCTTATTGTGCGCGCCGGGCGCCACACGTAGCGTTGTGCCTGACACTTTCGCGCTGATCTGGTCGATCCCAGCGAGTGTGAGCCCGCGTGCGGGGCACACGGCGTGGTAGGCGGACACGGGTGGATGGTGCGAAACTTGCTCCGTCATGTAAACCACCCTCACACGCTCCTCGTCCTCCGCGAGCGAGAGCTGCGACATCTGTGCCGCAACTGCATCCGCGTCGAGCGAAGTCGCCGCTGTGCTCGGGCTCTTCCCGTTCGCGGAGGTCGAGTTGCGCTTCATCGACGCAGTGCCGACGCTACTCACGCTCACGCCGCTGCGCATGCTCGCCGTCTCTGCGCCGCTCGGGGAGAGGGCGACGTCCGACGCATCGGCTGTGGGGTCAAGGGAAGTGTTGAGCCGCAATATGGGCGGCTGTGCTGGGTCTGGATGCGGCTGTGCGGGGACAACGTCCCAGTGTGAGCGGAAATGCTCGCCTAAGACAGAGTTGTACGGTTTGCAGATTTTGCCGTGCTGCGAGATTAGCGATGTCAGCGGGGGTGTCTTGGCGCCGGAAGGAGAAAGGGTGACCGAGGGGACGGAGATAGAAGTGCAAAGCAGACAGGACTTACTATGAACTTGAGGTCCTTTGTAAATGCAAAGCGGAGGACGGCGAGCATCCGCTCGAATGGATCCTCAGAGTCATTGATCCTGTAGTGCAAAATCACATGATGAGATTAGATGACGATGAAAGGCAAAAGGAAGGGCAACGGAGTAGATGAGACGTACGCAGCGAAGAGATCAGGTCGGTCGAGGTAATGCCAATATTCGAGGTTCGGGATAGGTTCTAACAGCGAGGCAGGTAACGACAGACGCCTATATTATACATATCAGTGAACGGCGGCCTCAATGGCCTGGCACAGGAGGCGACGAACATGGCAGCGATGTCCTTGACACCCAATGACTTCTTGACGAGCGCAACTATCATCTTGAGCTTGCCGCCCTCACCGCCCTCGCCTGAGTCGGGGACGGATATCGGGGGGCCAGGAGCATCGATGTCGACAACGACGTCCGGGATCGATTCAGTGGAGGCCATGGCAGACTAGGTCTATGTGGATTAATGGTGTAGAGTAAATAAAGGTGTAGTCGTGGTCGTCGTAATGAAAGAAAAGCGAGGCAGAGACACGAGGAAGATGGGGTTGAATGCGAACGTGGGCTGGAATGTAATTGTAACGCGGGAGGGTCCAGGGGAGCTGTGAAGGGAGCAATTGATGCCAAGGCACCCCCGCAGCTATATTTGGTAAGAATGACGGTCCAGAGCAAAGCACAAAAACGCAAAAAGTGATTCCACCCGGGATCGAACCGGGAACCTGGTGCGTACGCATTCAAGATGTGAAGCACCCGTCATAACCGACTAGACCATAGAACCGTTGAGAAAGTGAGTTGCAGCTAGACTACAATCCGCTACCAGGTGTCGGCAGTCATACTATGGCATCGAATTCCGGAAACTACTCTTTTAGTTAGTGCTAAGCGCTAAGATTACAGGAGAGCGCAAGACAGCCTCTAGTAGGTCAGAGTTCACCAAGGAAATCACGGCTCTCTCGTTTCATGCGCATGAGGCCCGTGGAAGAAAATGGGTCTACATTTAATTGGGTGCTCGTTTTGTGCTCGTTGGTGATTCACTCAGGTTATCCTGGGCTAACTTGCTCGTAGTAGATCCAAACGAGCTTTGGTTATATTATCCAGAAGTAATAGATAAGAATGCGCATTACAAATACGAATCGATATTCAGCGATATTCCGAGTCTCACTCCAAAATCCTCCAAGGCCGATCGATGTTCGCGGAGTCTGCCGCATTTGCATCCTCCTCGTCACCAACCCCAGCAAGGGTAAGTGCCTCGATCCTCCTTGTAAATCTGCTCATATCAGCCAAGGCATCTGCGCGAATGCTACCCTCGTCGACATCTTCTCCAAATATATTTGCGGATGGCGATGGCCCTTTCCACCCCCCATTGGCTTTGATGTAGCGAAGGAAGGAGCTCCAGAGTGGGTCTAACGCTAGGATGTTTGGGTCACCGACGACGATTAGTAGGGCTTGAGCCCGCGTAACTGACACTGCAAGAATCGAATTGTCAGCAGGCTTTAAAGGCTAATATGGAGAGGCGTCGCACCATTGAATCGGCGGGGATTCGCAACAAAGCCCAATGCATGTCGGACATCACTTGTTACCCATTCCCGACTGCTTCTAACGGTCGATACGATGATCACCTTGCGTTCCTACGCGGATTCAAAGTAAACACGTTGTCTAAGCACGGCCATGACGAAAATGAGAAACCACGAACCTGGCCTTGGAACTCTTCGACACTGCCCACTTTGACTTCTTCTGCTCCAATGGCCCTCAACAGTTTCCTGAGCTTCAGACATTGGGCATAGTATGGGGCGATAACACCAATCTCGGCATACGAAGTCTTGATCTTGTTGTCGGCACGAAGAGCTTGAATGTACGCTTTGACCTGCGTAGCCTCGTCGATATTAAAGAACGACGGAGAGGATGCCTCCCTGTCGTCTTTGCCCGAGATAGAATGGAAGATGATGGGGAACTTCTTCGATACGAGGTGGGACGAGCCAATGTACGCATTGATGACCTTGGGATCTCCACATTGTCGTAGTTCGCCCCTGTAGAATCGTTCGTTGGGGAATTTGAGTATAGCATTGTGCGAGCGAAAGTTCATAACGAGCTTGACGACGCTGTGGAATCAGGTGAGAGAGACATCTGGGAGAGGAAATCGAAAACTTACGTCCTTCCATGCGCCTTTTGTTCGTCGTACATTTCGTCGTTCATGAGCCGTTCCATATAGCTTATTTCAAGTCCTAGCGCTGTCGCCACTTTCGACCGTATGATCGGACCAAGCTGGCGTGGGTCGCCACTGAGGACGATGTTTGTGTCGTTGTCCGCCATCGTCTTGATAGCTATCATCGTCTCAGGCTCGGTAGCATGACCGGCCTCGTCGAAGAACAAGTGGCTAAAGTGACCTCGAGGCAGTCCAACACCATAGGGGAAGGATGCGGAGACACAGGTACAAACTATGATCCTAAAGCGCTTCAGACGCGCCATGGGGGGTACCGTAAAGAGACCGGCCGCTGAATCTCGTTGGGTGGCAAAGTACGACTCGGAAGCGGAATTGGCGCCGACATGTTTGATGGAAGTAAATGGCAAAAGTTCGTCGGGAACTTGTCCCCTTTTCCGAGACGGGGCGTAGAACCGAAATAACACGGCGGGTCCGAGATCCTTCAATCTTGAAGCTATCAAATCAGCCGCAGAGTTACTTGGGGCGCAGGCCAGGATCCGTGCGTTTGAATTCGTCAAATACAGCTGTCGTATAGCTTCGACCATCGTCACAGTCTTTCCTGTTCCAGGTCTACGCCAGTGGGTCAGCGAAACCCGTTATAAGGGAAAGTGGAACTCACGGTCCGAAGACGATGAAAGGGACTGAACCCGGCTGCTGATTGACGATGCCCTTGACAGCCATGAGCTGGTTCGGATTGGTTGCGATCAATTTGTTGACGATGGTTAGTGCACGAGGAGGGAAAGGCGCCTGAACGTGTTTTGGCTCTGGGAAGAGGACGCGATCTTGAGTGAATGCAGTGTCAAGCGCCTGGTGCTGCCGGCGGAGGGGAATACGATTCAACTTGAATCTGATATTGTATTTCTGTCCCGCAGACCAAGAGAAAGACGAGTGAAAGCGTAATCCAACTGACTCCATGTGCACGAAATGGACATGGCCAGAAAACCACCGGCCAGTCGTAGACTCTATTGGCTTGACCAAAATTTGATCGCCTAGAAATATGTAACGGGTCAGTTGAAGGTAAGCATGTACGATGGGATTTGTTAGCACTGACCTATAAGCACACTTGGGCGATTCTCCGATAACCCTGGGACATCAAGGCTAGGAAGCCAAGAATCAGAAGGCGGGTCACGGTGTAGAGTCAAGAAAAAGACACATACTGATAGTAACCTCTTTCTTTTACCAGTTTCGATATGGTATCATAGATCTCCAAGTCATGTCTGTAGAGAGCCAAAGGTCAGCAATTTCAAAGATGAAGCGATGATGGTGCATACTCCATTTGAAACTCCTCGACCCAAATGAGATGCTTCATGTGTCTACTATACGTATCGCTATTCCAGATCTGCGGCAAGAACAGCCGTTTGATATTTCCAGCCCGATGCTGGGGCGCCCCTGTGACCAAGGCGCCAGCAAGCTCCTTCGGGATGGGGGATTGGGTTAATTTAACGACATAGGTAATAGCATCCAAGGCTGGAGGCGCAACTCCGAGTACAACATCCATTACCGCCTCTCTGTCGCGGCGGATCCGTGGAACATATGGACTCTTCGGCTTGAGCAGCTCGTGGTCTGCTTTGCTGCCAATAATCGCTTGTATGGGTCTCACGATAGCAAAGCGCTTGCTGAGCGCTTGGTCTTCGAAGATGATTTCCAGGCGATCGTCGTAACGACCGTTGAAAGTGGCACGGAAGAGAATCTCGGTAGTGACGCGGCGACTGCTCGTAATGAGAGAATTGGCTGGTATGTTGATTGAAAACCTGATGGATAAAACGTCAGCCGAATAGACCGCCAAGTGCAAGCAATGTTACGCACGATGGTGGGTCACCCTTTCCACTAAATGAAGACAGCCGCGCCTCAACCAGTACGACTCGAGAAAGCGGCACCGAGTTTTCAACACTCATATTAAGCCGTATGCCTTGTTGAGCATCCGCAGGCTCCACGATGCCGAAATCAAGGCTCCCTGAGACTGCAATGCCATGCTTGTCCTTTTCGGCCTCGTCGCTGACGGACTTGTAAGCCGTGTACCTTTCTTTCTTCAGATGACCGGAGGTCTGCAAGTGCCTCTGCCAGGCATGGCGTGGGATTACGGTGTTGCAGGTGTTGCAGAACTCTTCTCTCTCTGTGGACTCGGGCAACTCTGGGGCGACTTCTCCTGTTGTCGGATCGACCTTGTTCAAGTGCCGCTTGCTTTGAAGATGCTCAATCCAGCCACGGGAGCCCACTACGTTCAGATTACAGAGAGGGCAATGAAGCAGTGTGTTTGAACCAGAAATGCGTCGTGCATGGCCTCGGCTCCGCAAGTGTGCCGCATAACCTGTAGAACTGGTACAGACAACGCTGCAATCATTGCAGGCCATGACGTCGTGTCTGTATTCACAGTTTGTGTCGATACAGGTACCGCGATTTAGCAGCTGAGGACAAGGCGGAATACGAGTATACGGGGCCATGTTGCGGGAAGAGGTGTTATTGATCTGCAGGTGGTACTCTGCCTTTTATTCAAATTTCCTGCATTGTCCCCCGAAGCTGAGCAATGACTGATAGGCGCCGCCGCCACGAGGTGGCCCATACAAGATGAGCGCAGATCCAAGCGGTGTAGGTGCCCCCACAGAGCGCCGGCTTGTCGGTTTTGCAAGGACAGAAAGGAGCCATTGTTGCTTACCCTTTCCTCAGAGCACAGATCCATAAAAATATACATTACAGTATGCGAGCCGGTGCCATCACGAGTTGCCAAACCAGCGTCTTCATGCGCCCACATATACACTGCCACAGGAAGGTGTTAAGACTTGAAGAAAAAGCAAGAGAGAAGCAAGTCGACGCTTGCGTTGCATCGAAGCAAGAGCAAACGAGGTAGATAGGTAGCACTTGAACCTCAACTTCAAGACTCTTCGAGAGGTCAGCTAACTGGAAAAAGCAAAGAGTACTAAAAACTCCGGAGCAACTATGGTCACTAATTCTCACAGTCAGTACCTGTCACTGCTGTCAGTACTCCTTTGCATAAACAAGGCAGTGAATCGGTGTGGGTCCCAAAAAAGTACATAGCATGGTATACATTCGATCACGAGAAGAGCTTGTTGACAGAGGTATTGCCCTCTTGGTTCTTTTTGAGGACCTTTGCCACCGCGAACTCGAAGTCCTCTTGTGTCACGTGTTGCCTGCGTTCTCGAAGAGCGTACATACCTGGTATACGATCAGCTTTGTGCAAAAATATTAGACAGTAGCATAATGCGCACCGGCTTCCGTGCATATGCCGCGAACTTCGGCTCCCGAACACTGACCCATCTTCTCGGCGAGAGCTTTGAGATTGATACCACGTTGCAGTGACATCTAGGGGCGGTGTAAACTCAAATCAGGGGAGGGGCACTTACACTGACCTTGCGAGAATGAATACGGAGAATGCTGACTCGGGCCTCCGGACCTGGCGGTGGGAATTCAATCTTACGATCGATACGCCCCGGTCGCAACAGCGCGGAATCGAGAATATCTGCACCATTCCATCAGATATAAACCGAAGTGCACAAAGGAAATAGCAAACCTATTCGGTTGGTGGCCATGATGACTTTGATGTTTTTCGTGGGTTCGAATCCATC